ATAATTTTTTTAATATACTGACGTAAGATAAAATTAACGATTAATGAAAAAGAAGATTGATGTAAAAACCAACCGGGGAAAGGCACAGATTGTTTAAAGATTTAAGCAAAAAATAATTTTATGAGAAGGGGTAAATTACATCCAAAGTTTTGTAAAAATTACTGGTTCCTAATATTTTTTGTTAAGTCGTGTTAGTGTGTATGTGGGATAGTGGAGTGAGGAATTTGTTTATCAACCAAATAAAAATAGTTCATAGTATATTTCCTTAACTTTTTTATCAGTTAAGAAAAATTAAAAATCAAACACAATTTATATGCAGCAGTATTATTAAAGTAAAAAAAAGTCAGCCGGAGTTTTACTATACATGTATTTTAAACTTTATTGGGTCAATATTGATTTTTTGGAGAGAGAGAGAGAGAGAGAGGAGGGAGAGAGAGATGAATGGTAACTCGTCACGGAAGATAGTGGGAACCTACAGTTAGCGAATAAACTAATCTTATGAAAAGGAAGGATGTTAATGAAATCTGAATCAAATAAATAATTATTACGGGACGGATATAAATTGATCAAATGGACAAAAAAATTTGCATCATTCAAAAAACTTACACATTTTTATAAATCATATTTAAGTACCGGTATACTAGATTTTTTTTTCATGTAACGTGTGAGCATGGGGGGGGACTTATACATGTATGCTAGAGAGTTCGAAATAAATATTTGTGAGCACTGGTTTGACGACTAAAGACTTCCAATTTTCACTACTTCGTAAAATCTTTTACTAGACAAGTCCGCATTCTGCCTTATTATTTTGTTAACATCATAACACCCCCTACGCCTGCCTACTTTAATGAGATAAAATTTAATTTCGGCACATAAAATTAAATTAATTCCAATTCACCGATAGCTACAGGGGAAAAATGGAAGGTACGAAACATGTAATATTTTTGTTAAAATTGAATCATGATTAAAAAATACTTAAAGATTAAGTTTACAAACTAAATAGTGATCTAACCCCCTCGGCAATGTGAATAAACGGAGCACCTGTCAAGTATTTAAGTAACTATAAGTGTCAATACTGTTTGTATCTTTAAGAGAGAGAGAGGGAGAGAGAGAAGAAAACTATTTGAGAATGGTGCTACTGCTAATATTAGTCTTACCGCTGACCTAGTAAATATAAATATTTTCCGTAAGATTACTATAATTGCTAGTACATGAATTTTTATTACTAGTCTGATAATCATTTATTAGTCTCGGACTTACAGACATTGGGTACTTATGAACCCTGCGTAATCGATCAACCAACCATTCATTTAGAAATAATGTTTTAAGTGACAAAATTAACAAGGCATAGTACAAGTTTATATATGGAACACTGTACTGTTCAATAGGGGAACTCCCGTATGAGCAAATGAAACCGGAAATCTTAAACAGGGTTATATAATTATATGACTTGTACAGATGTCCGAGAACATTAGGAAACTGAATTACCTATCAGTAATTATTCAATATTTAGAAGATTTCCTTTTTTAACAAGAGACATCTGTCCTGTTTGTGAAAAGAAAATTGATACAACTTTCCGATCGTGAAAACGGGGGGGAGGGGGGGGGTGGGCTCAACATTAAAGTCAGATATCTGTCTGCAAAGAAATAAATAGATGAAAACTAACTTGACGATTAATTAATTTTATTTTTTTAATTGAACAGGGATAGATATATTCAACACATAAATTTAAACTTGATTTACTCATAGTTAATTTCAAATCATATTCTGAATTATTTTACAGATATCAATAATATTTAGATTAAAAAAATGATAACTGCCTGGAATTTTTTTTCATCAAAAATTAAAATAAGACTGTTTTAAATGTAAAGTATAACACACAGTCATTTTCACACCACTGCAGCCTCCCCGACAGCGAGAACAATAGGGACAGTAATTATCAGTAAATGTCAGCACTTGTCTAAGTTTTTCAGCAGGGACAGTAAACGGGTCAGTAATTGTCTAAGTTTTTCAGCACCGACTAAGATTGTCAGCACTTTTCTAAGTTTACCAGTACCGGCAGTAAAAAGGTCAGTAATTGTCTAAGTTTTACAGTAACGACAGCACATTGTCAGTAATTTTCTAAGTTTGTCAGTAAAAAATGGGAATGTCAGTACGTTTCTGACTTAGTGGTGGTCTTCTGCACGTCGTATTCATTTTAACGTTCATGAGTTGGTGTGTAATTTGTTGATGGTTCCACGATTTAACATGATGTTCGGAGATGCTGATGGTAAGGTGGAGTAGTAGGAGTAGAGTCAGTGTAAACATGATGAACCAGTATAGCGCGGAAAAACCCGTACTGACTGGTTCTGCCTACACTGTCTCTTTACTTACCACTCGGTGTTTTCCAGCAGTCTCATTTGATTTGTTCTGAGATTTTTTCAGCCAGACTTTGGATAGTAGTGGGCCTGGGTGAATTCCGTCTAAGTAGAGGTTGTAGTTGTGGCGTTTTATTGTCTTTAATTTACGGTCATCTCTAGCTTTGACCTTTTTGTTGGTTTGAAGGTCCGATGTGAATTCTGGAGAGTGTGACCCTAGTGTGTTGTTGATTTCTTTTGTTGTTTTGTTTAGGTTGTATATTTGGTTTGCTAAGGCTACGTCTTGATCTTCAAATGTGTCTGGATCCTTGTGTCTTTTCCTCTCATTCCATTTTTTGATCGAGTAAATGGGGGTTTCAAGGATGGTTAGTTTTGAGTTTGATGATTTCTGATATTTCTCTGTATTTTTTGGAGATTCTTTGTACTTCGATCTCACTGTCGTCTCTGAGGCTGATGTACCTTTTGTTTTTACTCGTGAGGTCACACGTTCCTAACCAAACGTATAGCCAAATATTTCCGTGGTTTATGATGCTCTTTGCGATGTTGTTTTTGAGCCAGGTGGTACTTTCTTCAATTCTTGCTCCGCTTTTTGAATGCCAAAAAATCTGAATCTCTACTTCGGTTGTCGCATGGTTTTTTAAGTATTTACCTTTGCTATCGAATAGGATAATTGGTTGTAATTTCCATTCTCCGATGGGGGCTGTTCTTGGTTTATCAATAAATTTCTTTAGCTTGTTTTCTGTCATTTGATTATGTATCTGATGTATCTGCTGTTCGATGATCTACGTTGGATTACGTTGGATTATATATATATATATATATATGACAAGTTGTTTTGATTTAAATCAAATATGGCGGAGGTGAGCTTGACAAAGTGGTATTTTGGGGTTGGAAACCGACTTTACACACTTACATTACGCGAGTCAAATTATGTATATCGCGATTCAGACTGTTATCCTAATTAGAAAGTCTAACTTAATTGTTGAATTTTACTGTATTTTTGTTGGTTTTTCTCCTCGTGGTCTTCTCTGTTCAAGTTTTGCGCCTTTCCTGTCGCGCATGCGCTCTCTCATGTTTTATCATATAGTTAGGATTTGAATAAATAAGACATTGAAGGCCATATGACGACACGATTTTCATTTGCGTTCTTCCATTGTTGAAAATAAAAATATATCTCCAGATTACTGTTTGTAAACTCCGCGTTTGTCCATTCCGAGTTTCGCTATGTGTAAGACGTCTAAGTGTTAAAAAATAATCCTGAAATAGGTTTGAATGATTGTTTTCCTGCTCAGATACATAGCTCGCTGCGGCCGTTGCAACATTTGTTTACAACTTTGTTTGATGTTTTGATTGTGACGTCACAATGCCGTTGCATGCGCATTGACCCTCCGGTGAATACGGCATAAAATCCGGTGAATATGTAGTGTTATGAACTGTTTGCGTTTTGTATAGATTATATAGGGACTATAAATAGACTATATAATAAAAAACCATTACGCCACATATCTGCAGCTACATGTAAGCTAGACTCACCTACTGTTTGATATGGAATAAAATAAACTCCAGTCTGTATTGTATCTATAATTAATTAATTCAAGTAATCAAATCCTTAGGTCGAGAATAATTGAAAACTAAATTTTTACGTATTTTCTCTATTAGGAAACCTACAAAAAATTTTGTGCCTTAGAAAAACGAAATAACGTAAATAAGAATATCAAAAACATGATTAATAATGATGGTAAATATGTAAACAAACAATAAGAGATCGTTGAAGAAGTAAGAAAATTTTAAAAATCTATATGAAAATAAATATCAAGAACTCGATGATGTTAATCTTGAAGATATATGAACTTTTGTATTGATTGGGTTTGTATCTTGCGAGACCCGAGCGGTTTCCTTATAAATAATTATCGAATATATATCACCGTTCACGGTAGCTCAGTCGGTAGAGCGCTCGCTCCATGATCGGGAGGTCGTGCGTTCCTATCTCGGCCGCGACTGACCTAGTCGTTAAAATTGGTAGCAACTGTTCCTTCGCCATGCGCTCGGCACTTTGAAGTGAAAGTTGCGGGTCCTTCGGATGAGACCTTAAAAATCGAGGCCCCGTGTCAGCGGCATGCGTTGGCACGATAAAGATCCCTAACTGCTCAATGGCCCTGAGTGCCGAGTAAAGGTCAAAATTTGAAGCCCTTCACCGGCATACGCGTACGGTGACGTCTCCATATGAGTAAAAAGTTCTCGAGAGGGACGTTAAACAATATACAATCAACCGAATATATATTCATTTTTGTCCATGCATCGCAAGACAATGAATGTTGATAACTACACATCTGTCCCCCCCCCCCCCATTTGGCCATTCCCCTAATATTTTCCGGAGATAATATACTATAAAAAACATAGTAACTTTATGCTTGTGTCCATTCAAAAATAACGTCCAATTTCCATGATAACCGCTATTTTTCCGGGGAGGGGTGGGGATAGCGGGATTTACAATGATTTTTTTTTTAATTTATTATTCCATATTGTTCTGAACAAATAAAAATCATAATCTTTAATAAGCATGCATATGTTTCAGCCATCCGTATTTAAGGGGCTGTCTATTGGTTTAATATTTCAAGCTATCTGTTTTTTTTTTAATTTCAGGAAACGAAGTCATTCATCAGCTGACCACCACTTATAAGAACTCGTTGTATATAAGACTGAAATCTACAAAGAATGAGTCGTTTGAAGTTCAGTATTCTTCGTTTTCCATCTCAAATGATAGTGATGATTACAGACTATCCTTAGGGGAAAAGTCAGGAAACATTGGTAGATAATATTCTCTTTCTTATTTTCGCTTACCTTATTTATCTATTTATTTATCATCAATTTGATAAAAGTACGTGACATATATTGAATAATATTTGAGGAATAATCAATATAGTAATGAATTCGATAAAAAAAATAATAAAATCAAAATACAGAGTTTTAAAAACCAATTTCTTCGTCTAATTCAGTGCACCTGAACTATACATGTATTATGTAATTAACTAAAATATCTCAAACTACATGTAAATGATTAGGTAAATATAACTTTTTTTCCTTTTGCTAGCTGACGCATTCAGATCGTACAACATAGTCGGCTTTCCCTTTTACACATTCGACCGCGACAACAAACACAAGTGTGCATCTCGGCATGGGTCTGGATGGTGGTTTGATTATTGTTATCACGTGAATCTTAATGCTCCTCTTTTGAAGACGACGGAAGTAATGCGTGGAATTATTTCGCAAGGAAGATATCTTTTCCATTCGGAAATGTTGATTAGAAGATCTATCACATAGCAAATAAACATTTCTTCAATCCAGAATAAATCCAGAATTAAAAAAAAACTGAGGATTTAATAAAGATATTATAAATCCGTAACGGTTGTCCATGAATATTACGTTACCGTTATTTTTTATAATCCATGTTTATTGCATGAATCTTTTATTAAAGATTATTGTGTTGGTCTTCTTTTTAACTTGATATACTTTTACAATGTTTTAGCAGATATATCTAAAAAAAATAATTAATAATTTAAAACAACAATAGGCACGGTGACAATTATAAGTATTATTCTTCAATTCATCCATACTCCTCACAAGTAAACTTCAATATCAATACTTTTTGTACACCTAAAGCAACAAAACGTGCTTTGTAAAAAAAAAAAAACCTTCACACTCATTCTCATTCTTCATTATAAATTAAAAAGTATGTTGGCTGTTTCACAATAAAGATTTCAAACAGGTTTTTTTGCAATACGAACGCCAATGGAAATTTCAAAATGAATAAATATACTTGAATCTTGCTTTTCTTCAAAACTACTTTCTCATATATACATGTAAGGGCAATGATAAAATCAATCCATGTCAAATAAGATTTACAAAACAAACTGGAACTTCAGATCGTGTTTTTGTCTTTAAAACACTTATTGAAAAATACTGCAAATCAAGAAAAGAGAAGCTATATGTTTGCTTTGTTGACTTTCATAAGGCCTTCGATAGTATAAACCATACTAGTCTGAAGCTTAAACTATTAAAAGCTGGTATTAGCATTAAATTTTACTCAATTGTTAAGGACATGTATTCTAAAAGCTATTCTTCTATTAAACTGGGTAACAAATTAATCGGTCACTTCCGTACTTACAATGGGGTTAGACAAGGTGATACCATGAGCCCAAACCTATTCAAGATTTATCTCATTGATCTATCAAATTATCTGTCAATTTCTAAAAGTTTTGTAAAATTAAACAATGATTCAACTACTTCCATTCATTGCCTAATGTACGTATGCTGGTGACATAGTACTTCTCTCCCCAACTGCTGAAGGTCTACAAGAAAATCTCGATATACTAAATACATACTGTAAGGACATGTGTTTCAAAGTTAATACAAAGAAAACAAAAATTATAGTCTACAATACATCTGGCAAACACATCAAAATTCTCCTCCATCTGGATAACAACAATATTGTGTGTGTTAAACAATACAAGTATCTGGGTCTGACTGTTAATGCATCTGGAACACTAAGTAATGCTAAAAATTATTGCTGTAACAAAGCCAAAAAAGCCTGTTTAAAACTTCAAAAAGACTTTCTCACATTTAATCCATCAATTAGAACTGCTTTAAATGTATTTGACCACACTATTTAACCCATTATCCTGTATGGTTCGGAGTTATGGGGTTGTTTTGATCCATCAACTTCTAAATTTAAGAGAAATCCAAATATAACACAAAATATAACAAAGTTTAAAGGCGAAAATCTAAATCTTAACTTTTACAAATATTTACTAATGGTTCATGGTAAAAGCAGCAATTTTGCTGTAAGATCTGAGCTAGGACGCTTGAACTTATATTTTCATGTCATTAAAAATATATTGTTATACTGGCATAGATTAGAGAATCTAGAAGGTGAATTTCCCTTACTAAGCGAGGCTTTTAATTGCTCTAAAACACCACACCAATATGGTTTTACTTCATGGTATTCTTGTACTAACTTCTTACTTAACCATATTGATATTAAAATTGGTGATTTTCTAGGTATGTCACCCCTACAATTTAAAATCGATTTGAAAAGAATATTACTGAATTTCTATAAATTAACATGGGAAAAAGACAGAAATTTATATAAAGATAGCAAATTATCTACCTTTACCAGCATGAAGACTAAATTTTGTTTTGAACCTTATCTAAATATTCTAACAAACAATCAACATAGATCATTCGTAACAAAGTTACGAATATCAGCTCACAGGCTTAAAATTGAAATTGGACGTTACCAAAAATACCTAAGGAGGAACGAATTTGTTCACTTTGTCATCACAACGAGATTTAGGATGAAATTTATTTTCTCCTTGTGTGTCCTAATCTAAGTGTACATGTACAAAGACTTAAACTGATGAATATTTGTAAAATTAAATGTAAAAATTTCCAGTCTCTATCTTATAATAATCAATTTTATTGGCTCATGACTAATGAAGACCCTGACATCCTTAGATCACTTGCTAAATTCCTTGGTTACCTACCTTAATTAAGGATACTGCGATAAGCATAATAAATTTCTTTTTCCCAGTTTCTTGCCTTTGACTATATATATATATATATATATATATATATATATATATATATATATAGAAAGCACAGAGAAATTCACTTTTACAAGGATACTCACTTCCGCCCCAGCCCGGGGTTGAACTCTCGACCTACGGAATCTGTCTCCTAGCAGTATAGGAACAGCGCGTTAGACCGCTCGGCTATCTAGGCAAGTTAAAAAACTTGCTTTCGATGCCGATGGAATTCTCACAACGCTGCCCTACACTACACGGTCATTGAGAATGGAAGTCAGATACAGTTATTTTGACATTAGTTTTTAGAGGATTGTTACCAATACATGTTGTGATGAAATTAATTCTATTTATAAAGCACAAATTACAACAACTCTTAAACTAATATAACTGCCCTAAGTGAAGGAATATTAATATAGAAAGCACAGAGAAATTCACTTTTACAAGGATACTCACTTCCGCCCCAGCCCGGGGTTGAACTCTCGACCTACGGAATCTGTCTCCTAGCAGTATAGGAACAGCGCGTTAGACCGCTCGGCTATCTAGGCAAGTTAAAAAACTTGCTTTCGATGCCGATGGAATTCTCACAACGCTGCCCTACACTACACGGTCATTGAGAATGGAAGTCAGATACAGTTATTTTGACATTAGTTTTTAGAGGATTGTTACCAATACATGTTGTGATGAAATTAATTCTATTTATAAAGCACAAATTACAACAACTCTTAAACTAATATAACTGCCCTAAGTGAAGGAATATTAATATAGAAAGCACAGAGAAATTCACTTTTACAAGGATACTCACTTCCGCCCCAGCCCGGGGTTGAACTCTCGACCTACGGAATCTGTCTCCTAGCAGTATAGGAACAGCGCGTTAGACCGCTCGGCTATCTAGGCAAGTTAAAAAACTTGCTTTCGATGCCGATGGAATTCTCACAACGCTGCCATACACTACACGGTCATTGAGAATGGAAGTCAGATACAGTTATTTTGACATTAGTTTTTAGAGGATTGTTACCAATACATGTTGTGATGAAATTAATTCTATTTATAAAGCACAAATTACAACAACTCTTAAACTAATATAACTGCCCTAAGTGAAGGAATATTAATATAGAAAGCACAGAGAAATTCACTTTTACAAGGATACTCACTTCCGCCCCAGCCCGGGGTTGAACTCTCGACCTACGGAATCTGTCTCCTAGCAGTATAGGAACAGCGCGTTAGACCGCTCGGCTATCTAGGCAAGTTAAAAAACTTGCTTTCGATGCCGATGGAATTCTCACAACGCTGCCCTACACTACACGGTCATTGAGAATGGAAGTCAGATACAGTTATTTTGACATTAGTTTTTAGAGGATTGTTACCAATACATATTATATATATATATTTTCTAACCTGTAACATACTATACAATACATGTATGTATGTATATTCAGCATATCTCTTATATACTTTTTTTATCATCAATTGTTTTCATTACTTGTAATATCAGCATCATGCTTGTTCTATCATTTGGATCCTCCTTCTTTTTCTGTTTGTAAATCTTTTTGCTCCTCCGGGGGGCCCAAATTGGATCAATAAAATCTTGTATCTTGTATACTATTTTGATTTTTCTTACAAGTACTTTTAAGCTTATGTTTTAAAGATGGTAGAATTCTACATTGACAAATTCTACGAGTATGTAGTTATCATACATTTGAAGTATATCATTGAGGGAGTTAGCCAGATTCCAGTTCCCCAAGACCAGGACTATTTCCCGAGGCGCAGCTTAGATATTTGTATTAGAATTTGGGAAATTTTAGTCTTCTTCTAAGGACCTTTTCTGAAAAAGCCACTGATTTTGTAGTGTTTTTTACTGCAGTAAGTGTGATCTGCTCAAATAAATTGAAAGCTTCAAATGAGTAAACTACTCACTCAATTGGTATTAATCAATCATTCAAAGCATTCTAAATTATTGAAAAAGTCAAGATAAAATAACTTATCATTTTCATTTTATTTGCATGTATGTTTACCACTAAAGTAATCATCAGTGATATATGCACTTTAAAAAATTATTGTCTATTAACATTTTCCCGAGGTGTAAATGCCGCTGTACCTGACTACCATATATGGACAATTAAATGGATTATTTCGATTTCACATTTATTTTTTATATTGTTTTCATTGTCTAAAATTTAATTTGCACTAGAATAAGGTCTGTCCTTAAGTCATCTTCTTCACGGATTCTACGATAGTTATGATATGACTTGTACTGAAAATGGAGGATAAACATTTTACATTTTGCATTTTTATAATTCCTGAACTATCCGAAGAAAGTTAAAGTACGTTGTTCACCCTAGTCCGTCTACAGACTTCTTAGATTTTGCTCAAAGACAGTGTAAACGCAAACATTTTGCGATTGAACACAATACTTTTTGCGTTTAAATACAATATTCCTTTTGCGTTTAATCACAAAATTTTCTGCGTTTTATTGCAATATTTTTGCGTTTAAAAGCAATAGTTTTGCTGTGAAACACAATAATTTTTGCAATTTATCGCAATTATATTGGTTTATTCGCAAAAAAATGTGTTTGATAGCAATAATTTTTTTGCAATTACACGCAATATTTTTTTGCATTTAAACGCAATAATCTTACCTTCTAAAGATTCATTTTGCATTCAAACACACTGATTTAGTGCTGTAGTTTGAAGTAAGATATCGATTAGCTTAAGATTATAATAAATACTATGGTCCGATTCCTTAAAGAAGAAC